TGTGTGTGTGTGTGTGTGTGTGTGTGTGTGTGTGTGTGTGTGTGTGTGTGTGTGTGTGTGTGTGTGTGTGTGTGTGTGTGTGTGTGTGTGTGAAGATCAGACCCAAGAAGTTGAGTCGGTTCTGTTTAGTCCTGCACCCTACCATTCACTGAGAACAGTAGCTGAGGACACCTTTTTTCAGATCTATGGGTCAGGGTTTCTGGTCGAACAGAACTTCCACTTCTGCAGTCCCCGTTTTCTCTTTCCAGTCTTACTTTGAGCTGTTCTGCCAGGCTGAGCTCCTCCTTAGACCAGTAAGGAGGGAACACACAAAGCTAATGTATTTTTCACAAGTTTAGTGATGTTAAAAACAGCTTAAGTTTGTCAGTTAGTTCAGGGCCTGTTTTAGTTTTTATCATTTAAAGATGATTGATTAGGTTACATGCTTTTGATAGCTGATAGTTCAGAAACATCAGCTGGTACTTAAAAGTTTGAGAAACATACAGACTCTGCCAAGGTTGTACGTTTGGTTTATTCAAGTAGATGCAGTAGTTGATGAATAAACAGATCAGTGTTAAGGGATCATTCAAAGGTTTTGGATATGCGACGAACATGCTCTTACTTTCTATGAGAAGTCTGGTAGCAACTTTTGAAGATATCCAACCGACAGTTTAGAAACTTCCTTAATGAGGACTCTTACCTTTCTATGGCATATTTACAGTACGTTTGACAACGCCACTGAACTGTTGCGTTCAAATTCATGAATTGAGGTTCACCCATTGTTTATTAATCCAGTGCAACATTTGTAAAATTGTTCAGTTTCAAACTAGCAATTTACTTCAAGTTGTTCAACGTTCTGGAAAATACATGTATTACATGTATACATGTATTTGTATATGCTTTATTTTGGGGCTGCAAACACAGCATTATTAAGGCAGCTCATAGAAAACTAGCAAGAACCTGATGCATAGTGGTGATTAAAGAACAAATCTGCATCTCAGGCTTCACAATATAACAATCCTCCCAGCAGGTCCAAACTACTACGTCATGCTAATGCTAAAGCACAGTTGGAGGGGAGGGCTTCCACACTGTAGTGCACAGTGCTGTAGTGGTTTATGTCTTGTCTTGTTCTGGGTGTTTCTTACTGACTTGACGCACAGCAGTCTGAATACCTACAATACATGAATGTGTTGTAGCTAAACAGTGCTAACTGTGCAGCTGGCTAGCTGCTGGCGTGCTTAACATATTCTCAATTCAATTAAGTTACAGATTGAGTAATATTGATTAGACTAGCAACATTAGACTTTACCATTAGTCGTCCGCTCTCCAGAATCGGCAGCTTCTCAAAGATTTTGGAGGCTTTACTTGCTGAGCAACAATTTCTAACTGGTTGGTTAATGGTGCGACACAAAAATGTTTTTTTTAATTTCTGTTTGTGTACAGATTAAACAAACAAGACACAAGGCGTCAATCAGTGAGTGTGAGTCTGAGTATTGTGTATGTAGCCGCTTTAAGTCTTTATGATAAGTTAAGCTAACCACGGCCGGACTCTGGCTCTGAAGTCTACTGAACACACAGACATGAAACTGATATCAATCTTCTCATCTCACTTCAGAAAAAGAGAGCAAGTAAGAGTATTTCCCAAAACGTGGCAATGAAATGTATTACATATATTTTTTATTTAACAAAAAGCCATGTAGTGTGGTAGGAGGACATCCTGAAGCTCAGTTGTAGCCATGGACTGTAGTTAGTTCGTGGTGAGAGGGGCAGGGTGAGTAGCAGTGATGGTCTGTCTGTTTCTCTTTGCCCTGCAGCCCCCCCGACCCACCCCGCCCGCTGCTTGAGGAAGCACCGAACACGGACCTCAAGCCCCCTCCTATACTCCTACCCCAATGACATAGTGTTTGATTTTGAGCCTGAGCCTGTTTTCCGAGGTAGTTAGGCCTCTGTGTGTTCCCGTGTCCTTCACCCTCTCCACCCCACACCCCCACTCCCCACACACCAACCCAGCCCTGTGTCACCTCCACTGTGTGTCCCTCTCTCTTTCTCTCTTTCTCTCTCTCTTCCCCCTTTATGTCCATACATGCTCTCTCTACCACACACCTGATAGCTCACAGGTTACACATAGATCTCACCGTCTATTCTGATCAGACACTGCTCTTTCTATGGTTGGTCATTTGGTTGCAGAAATGCTCCTTAGAGCAAGTAATGTTGATTGAAGTCAATAATTAGTCAATAATTCTTCAAATCTGTTGTTCACATGTTCTGACTCCAGGCTTTAGTCACACTCAAAATGCAAACACACATAACTGCATTTGTTTAGTTGGCTGCAAGATTTTAAAGAAAACATAATCAACATGATTTAAGGTATTTAAAGGGTAAGTTCACCAAAACACTTTGATCTACTTTATGCTAAAGAAATGGTTCCATTTAAGACTGACATGTGTGTGTTCTGTCAGCTGGGGCTGTTTCTGACCAAAAATACAATTAGGATTCAAATTGCGACTCTAAATTCTCTGTTTATCCATTTATATATGAAACTTCAGACCAGGCTGACATACTTTTAAACATGTTTGTACCAAACAAAGTTACAAATGTATCTTATTTCTACAGAAATAAAATGACGCATATGGCAATGAGTCAGTCAGATACATTTTTGTACATACAGTATTTATTTAGACTCTCGCTTGATACTCTTATCAAAAAGAATCATGACATTTATAATGGCCACAGTGCATGGAGTCATTTGCCGTCTCTAGTCATGGAGAAAAAAAGTTGTCAACGAACATATTTATTCTTCAGTAACAATGAACACTGATCTAAATCTACCTGTAATTTCACAAATGTTCTGTGTAGACTGTTGTGGATAGAAAACTGGAATACACCTACTCTTGTAAATAAGACTAAAAACAAGTGAAGTTGAATAGTCCAGTTACTTCATTTAAGACTTACAAAAAAAACAACAACTAAAAAGCACAGGAACCAGGTGACGGGTGAGAATTACTTTTATTTGTTTGTCCAATTCACTGAATGAATGTCAACGACCTACAGCTGAGGAAATTTGCACATAACGCTCGTCATTGTAGCCAACAAAATCAATGACTACAGATTAGAATGTCCATCTTTTAATGGTTAAATGTAGCATGAGCCCAAACTGAGCATGTATTTTAAATATTTCTTATAATTTCTATTGTTCTCTAACTTATACAAAATGTTGTTTTATGATATTTTTTTCAAATCTCTTTTGGTGGAGCTTGGCTAGCAGTTCCCCACTGCTTCCAGTCTTTGTGCTGACCAAGACTAAACTTGTCCTGGACCTTTGTCTGTACTGGACCTTTTTTATTCCATTTTGGTCTTATTGTAAATAGTTTAAAAACCTCCGTTGAAGAATTCCATTGAAGAGACAACAGTTAAAGTTTCAAATCAGGCTCCTCTTTGATCAACATCATGTAATCCTTTGTGATCCTGACAGAAGTAGTTAATAACAGTTATGAACTTTGAATTCTAGATGTTTAAACCATGAACTGCCATTCAACCAAGCACCCCCTCACCTCTGCATGTGACTAAACACACACACACACACACACAACTGATCCAGAAGCCTCAATCCCTATCCCCGCCCTTTCTTTGCTTTTCTGCTTTTTCTCAACTGTTTTTATTTTTTTACCTATCCACCTTACCTCTCTTCTTGTATTGTTTCCTTCCTCTTCATCCCTGATCCCCCTCCAGGTTCCACCACAGGGCTCTCGGCCACGCCTCCCGCCTCTTTACCTGGCTCTCTGACCAGTGTCAAGGTTCCACAGAAGTCCCCGTGCCAACAGAGGGAGCGCAAGTCATCGTCCTCGTCTGAGGACCGCAATAAGATGGTAAGACATTGTTACAGATGTTGCCATTTTTCTGGAGTTCATTGTCTGTGTGCTTGTGTTGACTAAGTGCCCTGTGGAACAGAAAACCCTGGGGAGAAGGGACTCCAGTGACGACTGGGAAATCCCAGAGGGTCAGATCACTCTGGGTCAGAGGATAGGCTCTGGGTCATTTGGAACTGTCTTCAAGGGGAAGTGGCATGGTAAGACCAATGCTATACAAACACATCAGTGAGCCACACTGTTGCACTGCACAGGTTCCTTTATTACCATAAACACACACACTGTAGTTTCATTTGACTCAATCCCGCACAGACCGTCCTGCTGCCACAAACACTCACTACAGCAAATGTGGATCAGTCTGCCACTGAAAGTAGTCCCAGGCAAATGCACTATTTCCTTTTATTTGAGTAGCTATTGCTAAAAACTACAGTGACCAACTGTTTAAAGAAGTGACTGAGCCTTTCTTTAAAAAAGAAAATAAACTATATTTTCTGAACAAAGTACTTAAATTTCACCAATATATTCTTGCCATTTCAAACAAACATGCTAATGTTTTGTCCTTAAGACACTGAAAACCCAAGTTGCTCCCAGGGCCCTTCACAGCAGCCCACTGCTCCTACTGTGTAAAATGTCCGACACAAGTAATGAAATTATAAAGTAGCTGTACACCTGAACATATTTTAGCTCAGTAGGTTTAGGTTAGAGCTCACCGTGGAGGGCTCTGGAATTTTGCAGTCACATTTTTGAATATTTTTTTCTCGTCCATCTCCTCCCAGGTGATGTGGCAGTGAAGATGTTGAACGTCACTGCTCCCACACCACAACAGCTTCAGGCCTTCAAGAATGAAGTGGGGGTCCTCAGGTAACTCTTCAATTAGGGGTAGATTCCTGCACCTTTTTACTTCCCTACAAATGAACATCTTACTCAACACATTACTCAAGTGTCTCCCTTTAACGAAGAAAGTGCTGCAGTTCTGTCTTCTCATCAACCTGTTTTTTTGCACCAGGAAAACACGTCACGTGAACATCCTGCTGTTCATGGGCTATACCACCAAACCTCAGCTGGCCATCGTGACCCAGTGGTGTGAAGGCTCCAGTCTGTACCACCACCTGCACATCATCGAGACGAAGTTTGAGATGATCAAGCTGATTGACATCGCCCGGCAGACTGCTCAGGGCATGGAGTAAGTCCTCCCACAAATAGAAAAGCATTTGCCATGTGTGTAATGGGTCCAATAACTTTTCTCTTTTCCTTCTCAGTTACCTGCATGCCAAATCAATCATCCACAGAGATCTGAAGAGCAACAGTATCCTTTTAAAACATTTCACTCAATCAGTTTGTCTTAAGGCTGAGGCCTTTTTTTCCAAATTAAATTCAAATCAGCTGATGATGGAGGGATGAAAATATAACCTCCATCCTGAGAAAGCAGAAGTCCTACTTCAATAGCTCAGAATTGGAAGAAGAGAGTGTTTCCTTGACCTCATCTCCTCCAGACATTTTCCTCCACGAGGATCTGACAGTAAAGATTGGTGACTTTGGTCTAGCTACAGTCAAGTCCCGCTGGAGTGGCTCCCACCAGTTTGAACAGCTGTCTGGCTCTATACTGTGGATGGTGAGTGTTCATCCCCTACCAGTGGCCCTTAACTAAGTTGTCTTTTTTACCAGTTTCCATTTCTTCTGTTGGTCCTTTATTATGACACTACTCGTAAATTGGCGTGAGCTAGTCGGTGTAACCTGTGCTCTCTCAGGCCCCAGAGGTGATACGGCTGCAGGACAAGAATCCCTACAGCTTCCAGTCAGACGTCTACGCATTCGGCATCGTGCTGTACGAGCTCATGTCAGGAGCACTGCCCTACTCAAACATCAACAACAGAGACCAGGTTAGAGGACTCCATAAACCACACAGATGTTTTAAAACAACAAAACACATTTAATTTCTTCATAGTAGTCGCATTCAATTTCAGTGGCTCCCTGGTTAGACAAGCACTCCTTCGCATACGGTAGCAGAAAATATACCAACCATTTGCATATGTGTTGCCATCATGCATTCTCATCACAGACAAACTGAAGTTATAATCATTTAAAGAAAATTGAAATATTTTGAGATCCTGAGAGTGAGATGTTTCAGTCTCATGTCTTTGTGTTCAGTGCAGAGCTGGAGTCAGGTCGTGGTTAGCCTAGCTCAGCATAACGACTGGAAGCAGAGGGAAACAGCTAGCTTGGCTCTGTCCAAAGTTCAAAAATATTCCGACCAATTTCTTAAAGACAAGGCGTGCATCAAGCAACAGCCAAATCAAAGTCCTAACTGGGAAAAAAAAATAAAAAAATATATATATATATATATATATAATTATTATATATATATATATAATTATTATATTATTATTATTAAGAAGTATTATAACCTTAACTTACCAATTATGTCATTGTTAAACATTTGCTAAGCTTTTGGATACTTTTTAAAGATGAATACATACTTTATTATGCATTTATTATCAGTTGTCCATGCACTTATTAGCAGTTAACTATGGGCTACCAAATCTAAAGCGAGAACAATGCCTGGTATGAGATAATAAATCCTTTATCAGTCTTAATAACTAACACTTATTACAAGACCTTAATATAAAGTGTTGCCAAATTATATATTTTGCAAAGTGTATGATCTTTATTTGGAGTTTGTTCATGCCTCATTTAAATGCACTCTTTAATTAAGATGAATCTAATTAGTTGTTATTCAATTATTTTTCTAACAATAAAATCAACACAGTCAACAATATAAAAGTATTCCAGTGGCACATTTGAGCTTTATTGGAAGCCACAGCTCTACAAAATTTTTATCCCAGCAAACCGATGTTATGACTCATATCTTTATTCCCATAGATCATATTTATGGTAGGTCGAGGTTACCTGTCTCCTGACCTCAGCAAGGTGCGCAGCAACTGTCCAAAGGCCATGAAGAGACTGATGGCCGACTGCCTGAAGAAGAAGAGAGAGGAACGACCTCTTTTCCCTCAGGTGAGACAAATAAATGCTAATGCTTTTATAGTTCATTGGGAGGTGGGCATCACAGCTGAATTAATATAGTTTTAGAATCAGATATTTATTGTAAAACAGGCTTGTGTTACATACAGTGCTTCATTCTTAAATATCCCCCGTATTAACAATTTCATATATTAGCAAAACATGTTTTATATATTCAGTGTAATGTCCCTTTACACAGCACGTATTCCATCAATACAAAAATAGTTATATCACACTTGCAAATCTTCTGTTCTCCCATTTTTCATTCAAAAATGTATTTCATGCACTCCTGCTTTGCAGTTCTTTCATCAAGTGTGAAGCTTCTGTCCATGAATTGCAACATTTCCTCTCCACAGATGTTTCATATTAAAAGCCTACCAGCAACTCAAATAGCATAATCTCTCCCTTTTCTTGGAGAGTTTTTCTAATGTGAAACATAAACGGCTAATTACTAATTATTAAGCTCGTTACTGAAAGTGCAAGAAGACCATCGCAAGTAAAAAGCCAATACTTTAGGTCTATCAATACACCTGTTCAACAAGCATGAACATTTAGAAAAGTGATACTTCAATCTGCTCTGTTTTCAGTCTCTCATTCATCAGCACTATGTTTACACAAGCACAGTATGAGTATCAATATAGTTCTAACTTTACCCATCCCTAGTTCTTGTTCACTATGTGGCACAGGAGAGTAAAATGTTATGCCATTTTATAATAATAATAACTTTATTTATATAGCACCTTTCATAACAAAGTTACAAAGTGCTTCACAATAAAAACATATAAGCAAATAAGATCCAGAACCCAAGAGGAAAAACAAGATGGAGCAAAGTTACTTGTACAGTCTTTAGAAGAGATTTGAAAGAGGATACTGAATTTCCACAGTTCCACAGCTGAGGGGCCCGGACAGCAAGGGCCCGGTCACTTTTAGGGACTAGTCGTGATTTTGGAACTGTTAGCAAGGCCCTGGCGGATGATCTCACACAGCGGTCATGCTCAAAGCAAGACAGCAGACTGCAGATATAGGAAGGAGCCAGGCCATTGAAGGCTATAAAAGCAAGCAGTTAAATTAAATTCTAAAACTCACAGGTAACCAGTGAAGGACAGCAAGGATTGATGTGATGTGGTCACTTCTCTTTGTACAAGTTAAAAGCCTGGCAGGAGCATTCTGTTTCAATTGCAGCCTGCTGATACCAAAATGAAGTGAATTACAGTAGTCAAGTCTTGAAGGAATACAAGCATGAATGACTCTCTCTAGGTCTGCAGATGAAAGGAATGACCTGATTTTGGTTAGCAGTCTCAATTGAGCAAAGCAGGACTGCACGATTTGATCACCTGAGCCTCAGTGCTGAGGGCCAGCAGGGGTAATTATATTTACATCCAATTTGGAGTCATTTATTTTTTGACATCCAATTTCTTTTGTCGAAAAGGCACAACATGATACAAGAAACAGTGGTGGTGCCATGCTTAATCGGGATGTACAACTGTCTATCATCTGCATATAAATGAAAGTCAATATTGTGCTTAAACAGTGGGGGAACCCACAGAAGAGAGGAGCCCATAACCAATCCAGCACCACACCACTGATGCCAACATAGTTCTTCAGACGGCTGATTAAGACATTGTGGTCAACTGTATTTTATGCTGAGCTGAGTTCAAGAAGAATTAAAATGGAATGCAGGCATGTGTAGGAGGAAAACAAAAGGTGCTTGGTGACCTTGACCAGAGCAGTCTCAGTGCGGTGTAGGGAGAGAAAGCCAGACTGAAATGTCTTCCTTCTTTAAAAGGGGTAAACAGTAGCATGCTTATGAGAGGGGAAAATACCAGTTGACCGAGAGCAGTTAATAGTAATTTAACTTGTACTTGTACAGCGCTCTTCTAGTCTTCTGACCACTGAAAGCGCTTTAACTGTAATTCTGTAAAGTTCCCCACTGCAGGACTAATGAAGGATTATCTTATCTTATCTTAACACTACATGTCATTCACCCATTCATACACTGATGGCAGGGGCTACCATGCAATGTGCCAGGACTACCTAACCATTCATACACTGCAGGCACAGCCTATGGGAGCAGATTATTGCAATGTAGGTGAAAAAGGGCAGTCCTTCAAATTTGTTTTATGTGGGAGTTAGAGGACATATTCTGATCAAAGATAACTCCAAAATTCTTTACAGTGGTGCTGTATGCCAGCGCAATGCCATCTAGAGAAACTATATCATTAGATAATTGATTTCGGAGATGTTCTGGGCCTAGTAGAATAACTTTGGTTTTGTCTGAGTTTAACATCAGGAAGTTGCAGGTCATCCAGGTTTTTATGTCTTCAAGGCATGCTTGAATTTGTTGTCGTACGATAAGTCGATAACGTAAAAAACGATTGAAGTCATATCCATCCATCCATCCATTTACTTCCGCTTTTCCAGAGCCAGGTCGTTGGACCAGCAGGCTTAGGAGGGTATTCCAGACCTTCCTCTCCCCAGCAACGCATTCCAGCTCCTCCAAGGGAACCCCGAGGCATTCCCCGAGGCATTCCCAGGCCAGACCAAATATGTAATCTCTCCAGCGTGTTTTGGGTGTTCCCCGGGGCCTCTTACCAGTGCAGAGTTGGGCGTGCCTGGAAAATCTCTAAAGGAAGCTGTCCAGGAGGCATCCTGATCAGATGACCGAACCACCTCAGCCGGCCCTTTCCGACATGAACGAGCAGCGGCTCTACTCCGAGCTCCCTTCAGATGTCCGAGTTCCTCCCCCTATCTCTAAGGCTGAGCCCAGCCAACCTACAAAGGAAGCTCATTTCGGCCGCTAGTATACGCAATCTCATTCTTTCGGTCACTACCCAAAGCTCACCATCATAGGTGAAGGTCAGAATGTACTGGTAAATCGAGAGCTTTACCTTACAGCTCAGCTCCCTCTTCACCAAAACGGTCCGGTACAACCCCTGCAGCACTGCTGACACCGCACCAAACCGCCTGTTCATCTTACCCTCCATATTACACTCAGTCGTGAACAAGACCCTTAGATACTTGAACTCCCTCACTTGGGGCAGTGACTCACTTCCAACCCGGAGGGTGCATTCCACTGCTTTCCGGCAGAGAACCATGGCCTCAGATTTGGATGTACTGACTCTCAAACTCAGTCCAAAAAACACATGTAGACTGGATGCACAACCACTACCACGGTCTGCCACTCCACAAGCACTGTCCCCGACCTCCACGTGACACTGCACCACTTGCGTTCAGATCAGGCAGGCCGTTCCTCCCAATCACCCCCCTCCAGGTTTCTCCATCGTTACCCACATGAGATTTGATGTCCCCCAGCAGAACTATAGAGTCCCCGGTCGGCGCCCTTACCAGAATGCCACCCAGACACTCCAAGAAGGCTGAGTACTCCCAACTGCTGTTCGGTGCATAGGCACAAACAACAGTCGGCAACTTGCAGTCAGATAGAGTTGACCCTCTCGTTCCCCGGGGGAAATTTCCAACACAGCAGCACTTAACCGGGCGCTCGTAAGTTTCCTCTGCACCTTTCGCCCTACGGCAACTACGGAAAATCATAGTCCACCCCCTCTTCAGGAGTTTGGTCCAGAACCAGTGTTATGCGTGGAGGTGAGCCCAACTATTTCTAGTTGGTACCTCGCCAAGCTGTTGTAACTCTGTGACAACTGTACTTTGTCAAAACTGTCCCAAACTTCACATGCTTGATGAGAGTCATGGTTTGAAGACTTCTGCATGCCAATTTTAACTCAGTCATAGCGCCACCTACTGGCAAGTAACATTAGCATTGTAAATTGGGGGCGACCGTGGCTCACTGGGTTAAGAGGGTTGTCTGGTAACCGGTTCGATCCTTGACTGGGACGTGTCACGTGTCGAAGTGTCCCTGAGCAAGACACTGAACCCCGGGCGCCTGTCATTGGCAGCCCACTGCTCCCTATATACAAATGCAGAGACAAATTTCCCCTTCTAGGATCAATATAGTATAATAAATTAAATTAAAATTAAACAATGATATTGGGAAATATTCAGCAGCTAACATACCTCAGCGATCGGATGGTTTTCGGGTGGAGCGGCTGTGGCTCAGAGTTTGAGTGGGTCGTCAAAGGATAGGCGGTTCGTTTCCTGGCTCCTCCAGTCCATGTCGATGTGTCCTCGGTCAAGACACTTGTTTTTTGTAAATTGCTCCCAAAAGCTGTGCCTACAGTGAATGATAGTCCTGATGGGCAGGTGGTGTAAATGGGTGAATAACATGTAGTGTTAAAGCACTTTGAGTGATTGGAAGACTAGAAAGCCCATTTACCATTTTATAGTGCCACATCAATCATCCATCAGTAACTGGGAGGATGACATATCAGCATCATTTATAAATATATGCTCATCTAGAGAATGACTTAAACCAACCGGTCTGTCTGCTAGCTAGTAGCTAGCTACCTGGCTAGATATCACCCAATTGTTGGTTGTTGAGCGGCTGTGGCTGAACAACAGTGGTAGAGGAGGGTCGTGCTTCAATCAAATCAAAGGATTGGGGGTTCGATACCTGGCCCCGCTAGCCGATGTGTCGAGACACTTAACCTCAAAATGCTCCCGTAGCTGTGCCTACGGTGTGTGAATGGGTATAAATGTTAGTTACCAGGTGGCACCTTGCATGGTAGCCCCTGCCATCAGTGTATGAATGGGTGAATGGTGACATGTAGTGTTAAAGAGCTTTGAGTGGTCGGAAGACTAGAAAAGCGCTGTACAACTACAGTCCATTTACCATTTAATTAGGGCCCGAGCACCGACGTAGTCAGAGCGGAGGACCTATTGTTATTCTAATGTTTATTATTATTATCGTACCACTTTCGTCGCAAAAGCAGGTGCTTGGAATACTGGTAACATTTTTGAAATTTGGCACGCAAGGCAGTCATGGTGAAAATTGCAGTCTGATTGGGGTGTCCAGTATGAAAAATTGGCTCGATAGCGCCCCCTTTTGAGTAGCCCCAACATTGGATTTCACCTAGCTGTATCAAATTTTTTAGGTATGTGTTACTTGATGGGACGTACAAAATATCCTCTTGGAAGTATGTCCTAATCCAAACAGGAAATAAGACATTTTTAATTTTATGACATTTTTTGACCATTTCAAGCCTTCGTACTTTAACAAACTCCTCCTAGAGATTTAACCCGATTGACTTCAGATTTCTAAGGGGTCCATGCTCTAAATCCAACCGGAAGTCAGCCATTTTTAATTTTGTATGAATTTCTCGTGTTTTTTTTTGCCATTTCCAGGTGCTGTACTTTAACAAACTCCTCCTAGGGAATTAATCAGATCAACTTAGAATGTGGTCAGAACAATCTAAAGACCTTAGCGATTAAAAGTTACCAAAAACTTGAGGTTTCATCGAACGACGTGGATGTGGTATGGCAGCCATTTTACATGGTTCGCCATCATCCATCAAGCTGTTGTAACTCAACTGTACTTTGTCAAATCTGTCCTAAACTTGACCTGCTTGATGACTGTCATGGCTTTAGGACTTCTGCATGCCAATATTAACTCATAGCAATAGCGCCACCTACTGATAACGATGGCCGTAAGCAGGATTCTATAATTACAGCGGCCCAAACACTGAACTTATTAAAAGGGTTTGTGGGCACACCATGAGAAAAAGACTTCTCTGATCTAAATATGTGCAAACTAAGATGTTTGGAGAGCAGAAATTGGATAAAAAAGGTTTCCAAATTGCTTTTGTATGTGGAGTTTTCATTAATAGTAAATGTAGTTGTTTTTGTTCTTTTTGGAGCCGGTCCTTAATGTTAGGTAATTTCATGAAACGTGAAGTTTGTTAAAGAAAATCAAACTGCACCCATCCTAATTTATATGGTAGATTATTCTACATTGGCTCACCTTTTGGCTTAAAGTTATTTCTTTACAAAAAAATGTTTTTTGTCCACATGGAACTATACATTCTCCTATTTCTCCTCGACTCTTCCAGCTTTGAGTCACTCAGCAGTGATTGTCAGAGCTACCTGCACAAACAAACAAAGTTTTGAGACCTGCATTTACTTTGACAGTCTGTTATGTTACTAACACTGAAGCGCATTCACACACATTCAGTTTTTCGTCAATTTTTACAGAATTACAGTTATGATTGTATTTGGAGGTACACTCAAAACATTCAAGGCTTAAGACCTAGCAAAATGACCTGGCTACGCCATTGGTAGACACAGGAAATACCGTTTAACTCGTGCACACAGTGTGTGATGGTCACAGAAATGCATGGCCGCATCCATCAGAGTCCTGCCAGTACCCTCGACGTGCATGAATATGCAAGGGCCCGATCAATGCTGCTTGCAGCTTTAATTTATTATTATTATTTATGTAATACCCAATTGTTAAACATGCTGTGGGGACCTGTGTCTACCTGTTTTTGCAGTGAGAGCAGTTTTTAAAACACCGGCACACTTTTTGCACGCCGAGTGGCCGGTCTCACAAAGCCAGCGGCTACTCATTCCTCCAAAAATGTTGGCATGAATTTACAAATCATCGTTATTTGGATAAAAAAATAGCATATTTAGAATCTAAAAGGTTACCTTCTCTCCTTAAATTAGATCTTATTAAATCTTAATAACAGCTTTTGAAAAATATTTATTGGCAAGTAAAGGATGATAAAGCTGGCGATGCTAAGCAAAGTAATCACTCTTCTGGTCTAAAACCTGACCCTAGGAACAGAAAATCACACAATGCCAAAGCTACTTCTACTTCAGGCAAAGATTAAGGTCAATACTTCTTATTATACTTCTCCTCTTTTTATACTTCTTCATCTTCTTCTTATACGGTTCTTCTTCCTCTTGTTTTATTGGTAGGTGCCATTTGATTGAATGACTTCTGGTCACTAGATGTTCCAGCTAATGTCCGACATACTGCCACCTGTTTTACCGAAGGCGGATGTAGCAAACGCATCAAATAGGCCTGGTGGTTATTCCTACCATCAACCTTTTTTTCAAATCATTTTTCAGGTTTAAAGTACGGGAGATTTATGGTAACATATTTAAACTGCAGGGCAGAGGTAGTGAGATGGGTCAAATATGGGAGAATGCTAGGACATTTACTTGTAAGTGCCTAAAAAAGTTTGATTTCTTTTTAATCTGTGTTCTTTAAATTATTTATTTCTACTTGATCCCATTACCCCACTGATTTCATTCAATGAGGAATTGATTGGCTTTGCCACCAGAGGGCTTCAGAGGTTTACATGATGGAAAAAAAGCAGCCGAACTGAAGCAATGACTTACTCAGTGAAGCAATGTACTTACACAGCACACACCGTTGTTGATGGTTATGTTAGTTAGTTAGTTAGTTATTTAGTATTCTGACTGATGATCCTGCGGCTGTGCTTTGTATTCTGTCAGATCTTGGCATCCATCGAGCTGCTGGCACGTTCATTACCCAAAATCCACCGCAGCGCCTCAGAGCCTTCGCTAAACCGAGCCGGCTTTCAGACGGAGGACTTCAGCTTGTACGCCTGCGCCTCGCCCAAAACCCCTATCCAAGCCGTTGGCTATGGTGAGCTCATATACAAACGTCAGTCTCAACAGTAGTATTTACTAGTATTGTAAACTACTCCAGTGAAGAAGGAAGTCAGTAGTGGCCTCAATTCACAATTATGTTTTTACACTTAAAATCAAAGAATAAAAGTAAAAGCACGCAAACTCCTTGAAAGAAACATTGATAAACACATGGATTAGACTGACATATTGATTATGTCGACTTTTTGTTGTACACTTCATTAGTACTACACTGATTGAATGTGGAAACACTTGATCAGATTTGAGTATTTTAATTTAATGAATATATAAAGAAAGCCCTTTATAGATAGGCCATCAAATACCAGCAATACATACCAGCTTTTTGAAACGTATTATTCTGTAAAAGGTTTTTCTAACATTTTGCTGCCCCGTAAATGTAAATGATACCTTCCTTTATGTAATAGAAATGTTGTTTTAAATGTATTTATTAATTTCATTTGCTTCTATTTTGCTATTCTGTCAGTTGTTGTTACTGTAAAAGCAACTCAATCATTCCTGTAGATATTACACATTCAAAAGCCTGTGAGGAGAACAACTTTTTGGACGATATATTGTCCCAGAAATAATTGCAATACACAATACTATTGTCATTTTAAGATTTTTTTAATGCCACTGATATGATATACATTTTCAAAAAACTATTAATTCTTAAGAATATTCACACATTGGAATGTAAAAAAAAAAAATCAAATATCCTATATAAATAGACCAAATAAAATCACACAACCAAAACCATAAATAAAATGGACTCTTGATCTCTTTCAACTTAAATATGCATTCTCTGCCCAATGCCCAAGTCATTTAATGGTAGGCAAAACCCTGTTGTTTATTCTGGCATCATATTGGCAAGAATTTTGTTAACATTCTTATGTAAACATACACGCATTTAAACATAATGGGCAATATAGAGGTCATCAAAAATGATTGAGGTTGTTTCCATATATGTACTCAATAACATAATTATCGTGGCAGGCTGATCTAAAGCACATCAGAAAAGATTTTGACCGTAACACAATCATAAGGACAAAACGAATTGGCAACGTAGCTCTGGAGAACCATCCACGTTAAAACTGCTTTGCCGTATTGTCAAGATACACATAATGAAAAAATCTGAATTGATATTCCTGTGGCTGCATACTAATCTTCTGTGTCTTTATTACTTTTTAGGGGAGTTTTCGGCGTTTAAGTAAGTGCTGCAGATCCCACAAGTCCATCTCTCTTCGTCACTACTCAAAAGTCTTGTGTCCATGCGGTGGATTCATTCATTACTGAAAAACTGAAAAAAATTGTCTCAAAGAATGTGCTTTATTCTTCCTCTGTCAACCTGAAGAAGGCAGCCTCACTGGAGTTCTTCCAACAAAAAGCTGTCCAGCAGGCAAACAGCAACGGACACAACTCAATTAGGAACAAAAAATACAAAAAACACAATCAAGAAACTTGAATCACAAAAAGAAAGGGAAAAAACAAGTTACAAAGCTATCCATACCAAAAAGTTTTTGAGGAAGAGACGTCAAACTCCACAGATGGACTTGCCTGCTGGAGGGAAAAGATGAAGGCAAAAGGAAGGAGAGATGGAGGCGAAATGTCAGAAGTCCAGATTTAGGGCACCCCTCGTCCCATCATTTCCTGTGCAGGTGAGACTGGTTTATCAGCCAGGTGCTGAACTGCTCTTTGAGGGACTGCAGAAACGGGGCCCATGGAAGGAGAAAAGAGGCCTGCCGTCCTCCAGTTGAGATAGGCCAGGTGTAAGCCAGGCTTTCTGGTCACACCACAGGTCACATATTGAGCCCCCACAGGGCTCAATACTGAAATTCTGCAAAATACATGTTTGCCTCCAACAAATTCAACACCCATGAGGAAACGGTAATAGCTGTTTATCTACGGACATATTTTGTTCTACCTTTTCAAACTTCAAAACCTTCAAATGAAAACAGGATTCTGGTAGAAAAGTGTGGCGCCTACGCTTTTCCACCGAAAATAGGGGCTGTTCTTTGGGAGGAAAAATACTCATTTGTTTGGTGATAAAAGATCCATGAGAGGGATTTCTCATAAAAAGCCTGGTCTAAGCCAACAAATGAGATGCTTGTTAATTAGCCAGCTTCAGCAGTGTTGGAAAGGGACGCTCTACCTTTTCAGAGGTGGTCACGTCGATGTGAAAAAGCAGCATAAGCGTGACGTGTTCTGTGACCACAGGAGCTGTTTACAGGGGGTGAAATGCAGATTCGTTTGGTGATGGAAGCTACACAAGAGGGGTTTCTTATTTAGTTTAAAGAGCCTGGTCAAAGCCAAGCTAGTGGCCAGCCTTTACACTGAACTACGGAGTGTGTACAGTAAGTTGTGACACAGCATCTTTTCAACAAAGCTTTTATTTTGCTTCACACATTTTTTTCCACAAAACCCAACCTCAGATTTTTTGTTTTTTGTAATAGCAATTGCATGTCGTGTTTCTTTTCCTTTTTCCCCCTCATGTGGCTTTAATATTGCACTCACCTAACAATGGGGACCGCACTTGCAGCTGCTCACTGATGGGCTGCAGTGTTACCTGCTGAAAGGACCAGTGATCCTCTGGAGAGATCTGTTAGTCACGAAAGGTTTGAAAGTGTTATTTCAATCGCACCATTTACATCCTCTACACACATGCACCTGTACTTTTTTTAATTCCAGTGTGTGTTGAGGGTTGCAGGTGTTATTACAGGTTATTTTTATTTTGTTATAGTCAGTGTTTGCCTTTTTCTGTACAGGCAGGCCTGCAGATATTTACTTATTTATGTGATTTTTGTTGTTTTGTTTATTTTCCGTACTGCTTTACTTGAAGCGATCAGTATTTCTTTTGGCGCTTGTTTTACTCTTTGTGACTCGTGTACTTGCACTTTGTAGAGATGGATAGAAGCAAATGAGCGACTTGCCTTTTCTTTTTTTTATTGAAGAATAAATTGTGACATACAGAGCTGATGACCCAAAATTTAATTTCCAATGCATGAGCCATCTGCAGAGGCTGAACTGTGAATATTTTGCCGGGAAGGCTCAGTTGTTGCTTCAGGACTGTCTTTGAAAAAGCCGAGTATGTCACCTTACCTGCAGTGAAGAGACAGCTGGTCTGATGAGTGGATATTGTGGAGTTGGAGCACACAGCTGAAGCATCTAGCCAAACACTGACAGACTGGTTCTTCTCATCATTAAGGATTTATGTATTTCCATCATTAACTAACCCCACAGCCACAGCCATGTTATCACACATTTTGTTGCCTCTCATCTTTGTGCCTACAGGACAGAGCTGTGGGGAGTTTAGCGTAGCTTAGCACAAAGAATGGAAGCAGGGGGGCAGTACTAGCCCTGACCCAGGTGAGTCTTGTACTCAACAAGGCCCTGGATCACCACCTCCAGTAATTTGGACATTTTCCTGTCAAAGTTTTACAAGAAGCATGTTGAAAATACAATCTGGTAGGAAATGTTAGCAGCATTAACCAGGGGGGATTAAATATGCCAAATAGTGAAAAACATGATTTTAAAGGGACTTTTTTTTGTTACTTTTCATCCACTTGCTGTTTTCTTCCATATCTTAAAAAATGGTTAAAAAGATTGAATTCCACCATCCTTTTGTATTTTTAACATTCAGCCCATAACAAAATTTCATGAGCCATTCAATGACTGAAATGTTGCAGGCGAGATCACCTGTAACGCCTCAAGACATGAAGAGGGATCGTTTGTTAGCCTCGCTCCAAAACACGAGATCTACAGTATCTCTGGACTGAATGCACAAAGATGATATTTCTGTTGACGTCATATTACCCAGGTTAAGACGGCAAACAAAAGAATATCCTTAACTGTGATTCATATTTGAAGAGTAACTCAACCCAAATCTGTGTAGAGCCTGATATCTACTGGTGAAAGCAGGATAATGTCCAACTGCTATTGGGTGGTCTTTGACGTCGCTCTGAAGATACAGGTGCACTTCACCTCGCCCTTGCAGCGTGCCGAGTGCTGCATAACAGCAACGGTTATTCCAGGTTCATTACAACTTTGGTCTATTATTCGTAGTTTTGTTCAACATTCCTGTCACTGTACTTGCCACGTTTATGGCTGAGATCTGGCAACACAGAAGGACGGTGACTTTTTGCTCTGAAAGCTCAAAGTGGTTTCAGAGCGCAAAACGGTCGCTCAGGCCATCTTTACCATAATAACACTACTTTAAGAGCAACGGAAGTCAGACTGCGACTGGTAGTCCCTTCGGTGATGCTCGTCGGAGAACTATGGTGTGAAGAGGACCTGCTCCTCCAAAAGCTTACACACTGGTCTTTTAACATTCTTCTTTTGACCAGAATAGCAACTTCTAATGGATGCTGTAATGTGTTTGCTGTATGAATCAATAGTTGTTCGCCAACACAGCAGTTGTAACCAATTAGCCAGATTATCCTTTTGTCACTGACGTCCTGACGTTAAATAAGAACTGAAGGGAAACATATTGTGGGTCTGTGGGAACCCAGAGCTCTAAGATGGTACCTCATAACTGTACAGAGACTGGAGGTGAATCTATGTGTATACATGTATTTGATTACGGCAGTGAAGTCATTTACATGACATTATTTTGAGTGTTAATGGAGAAGCTACAATGTTAGCATAGCATATCCCTGGTTGATCCAAACTCCATTCAGAAAACAGGCATTTTAAAAGTTCTTTGCTTGTTGTCTTGCGGACAGACCTGAAAAGACATGAATTCTGACTTCAGACTTCACAAATCTGCATTGTGATGTAGTGATTTTGTCATTATTTTGATTTGTTTATTGCAATTAAATCACAGCAAAATCTGTATATTTTGAGTTCATACTGCTGTAGTAAACCACATTAATTCAGCTGACATGACTTGCTACATTCAGTGACTACAGCTAGGTGATGATGTTCTGAACCCAGCCATGGCGGATCAGAAGTGTCGGTATCAAAGATGCTCCGATTCTGAACTGTAACTCTCGGGTGCGTCTCGCAAGGCAAACATTTGCTTTGCATTTGGTGTGAACACAGCATAAAGGAATTATCCATGTGCTCATTGATTCAGCAGTAATGCTTGCCCGTCTCTGACAGTGCCAGTGATGTTGCTGCTTCACATGGAGCTTTGTTTACCACACATGTAGTTGATTCAGGCTGGTCGAATCAGCACATGCCTTCTTGTGTGTCCATGGCTGTGCAGACACTTGTTAGGCACAAACTGGTGTTCATTGGGTTTTGGAGTGCACTCTCACAGAAACACCTTGTACTAAATACCAGGCATCAGCAGAAAGTGCCTGGTTCTACCCATAGATTCTAAGGGCTTCTAACCCATACTTGACTTCCACTAGTATGCAGGTTAAGGTTAGACTGATGTATGGAGACATTGTAGGCCTTTTATAAAACATAACATATCCCTCAGTCATGGAACGCCTCTGATATTTCGAGGTCGTCTCTGAAGAAGACCGAGCTGACATGTTGTGGACCTTCAAAGATATGAGCTGGTTCAGGTTGTGAAGGAGACTTTGAGTCACTAGAGATAGAAATATTGCTAACTTCTTGGTCATGAAATCTTTGAAGATGAATTGTGTTCAGTCAGTTCTGTCATCAGTAAAAAGTAATAGCCCAATAATACTGGTACTTACAGAAGAGGATGAGGTCGTGTGGGGAAGAAAAGGAAGGTAAAGAAGTCTAAGTTTAATCATTGAAATCTACAGACTCGGACTTTTGACTCGATGTTTTAAATTCTGATTCAAGGCTAGAATCCGACTTAGATTTCTTTCTTTTTAGATAAAGCCAGACTGATCTTAGAGCAGCTTTAGTCTGAGAGTGAGCGAGCAGTCCAAGGACTTCCTGTACATTTCTATATTGGCTTAAATGTTGACAATGACATGTTCATTCTCAACCTTGAAAAGAGTGGTTAATGATATAAGCTCAACTCAAGGTTGACTTATTTGCTTGTTCTAGAGCTTTTGATCTTGGTAATTACTATTTCCCAGGGCAAGAATGAATCCTTGTGTTTGTCTTTCCTTCGACCTCTATCTGCTGAACCTTCATAGCATCTTTGGAAGTAAATATTGAGGCTTTGCTCACACACACATCCTCTGTCTCCTCTTCATCCAAAACTTTTCCCTTCTCTATTCTTAAACATTCTCCTAAAACCCATCAATTCCTTTCAATTGAGAACTAAAATGAGAAACTTCATGGAGACCTTTTCTGATTGTTTTTTTTCACCTGTAAATAGTTGTACAAAGGAGACACTGTCCGTTTGCTAGGAGGCATGGAGACTACAAATGTAACTAATTATAAAATGTTCAAAATAAAGAGATGGAAGATTAAAAGACATTTTGATAGGCAGACTTCTGTGAAAAAAACAGTTGAGTGTAAAAATATTTAAGGCTGTATCATAAGGAGAAAGAGCTTAATGTATTTGTTGTGAATATGAAAAACTGATATATTAAAGAAGTGCATGAAAACTGTAGCTTGGTTTATGTGTCATTTGTATGGGTGGGGTATTGTTGTGTATTCTATCCACATGGTGGCAGCATGCAACACTGTAACGTGCCCAGAAACACCTACTGCTGTAAGGACATGTGCTTTTTAACAATACAGCCAAATTAGAATCTCATCGTTTCCTTTTTTTAACACACTATTTGTTCCTTTCCTCTATTCAACTGAACAGTTTCAACATCGATGGCATTAAAGGGAACAGGAAGAAAACCTCTATTCCCCATATTAAGTGCAACAGTTCATTCCTGTATTTTAATGACCGAACATGTACATATTTAATGATAGTTACGTAATGCTTATTCAGCACACTGATGCATTATGAAGCTTTACTTAAGGGATACATGTTTTTTAACTTTCCAACAAGGTTCACAAAGAGCGTTATTAAATGGTTAGTTATGGTAAAGTAATGCTTACATAGCACGCACAGTAATTTATAGGTTACAATATAAGTTAAAGGTATAAGCAAACCTCTACCATGGAGGGTGTCCACTGATCTCAACCATATCTACTGAAAATAAGTCACAAGTTGGAGGATGAACAAGTGATCACTATCCTTAAATAAGAATTATACAAAATAAGTTTTCTCTTAATGAAATGGTCTAACTGTGAACTGACAAGGTCATTTACATATTTAAGAGTTTACTTATAATAGCACCTTTATTAACATGTAAATTCTTAATAAAGGTTAAGAGACATTTCTTAACGAACTAATGCTCATTTTTGTGTTACTTAAATTATTTAATAATCATTAACTAATATTAATAGCATGTTTTCAAACATTAAATAATGTATGTTTTGCTGCTCTATTGCTCCCTTTACTGCTCTGAACCTAGTCGTGATTTATCCCTTAATGCTTTCTTTTGACAACCTCCCTTTTCCAACTTTCAATATTGCCACACCTAACTGATTAGATGCTCCTCTCTCCGCAGAGTAATTGAAAATAGCCATTTATTGCGGCTGGGCAAATCTCTGCGCTCAGATGGCTACCCACCTTCACTGACGCGCTCATGGCCCCCTTCGTGCATATGTTCAATGATGGCCGCAAATCACATATTTCCCCCTCTCCCATAGACAGATAAGAATGCTTTAATATGGCAATCAGTCCCTTAAGTGTAGTTTATGGTTGCTCTAGTGAAGCCACCGTGAGGTGCGTGTGCCAGAAAAGGACGTAATCGCGGCCTGCCCTAAATTGTGCGTCCTCGTCAGGACTAGTGTTATGGCCATAACTTTTGGACACGGGGAGAAATCGCCACAATCCCCATTCCTCCAGACCATCATTCTTGCTTTGTAAAACAAAACAAAACCCCAAACAGAGAATCAAATGTCCGACCCTAACATCGCGATGACGGGATGCTTCGTCATTAACGGACAAGAATCAATGTAATTAACACAATGACAAGAACCAGTCACACATATTTATACGACAACAAAGCAACAAATCAATCTAGCAACACAAACAGTATTCATCCGCACACTGAAGAGCACCATTCAAATATTATCACATCAGAGGGAACAATATTAACCATATCATAAAAACGACACCATGGACAGATGAACACAGTAGTAACGCTACTGCAGATGTAAAGACACAAAAGCACTTCAGGTCGTCATTTAAAAGACAGATCGTTGGCTGTGACTCGTAGTGACTTTGGTGTCGGCTACTCTATTCCGTTTTAATCTGGAGCCCGATGACGGGTGCTCAGGGAATGTTTCGCTAATTAAAACGGAGAATGTGAGTTTGGAAGCCCGTTTCAGAGTACCTCTACCACAGTTAATCTCATGCTGTTTTTGACTCAGTTATTGAGATATCGAACAGACGGCAAGTGTCACTGGATTACTACTAAGACACTATGAATAGCTACCATAGAATTGACTAGTGTTAGAAAGCAAATTATTAATGGTAGACTTTATGGGGGTACTAGCAAGCGATCAGCTGTGTGTAAATACCCGTCAGTGGTTGTAAACACGCATCCTAACATGCCGGGGGCGCATTGGTTGGCTATATTACAAAACACAGGAACGGCATTTCTTTGACAGTTTTGGGAACCCTCCAGAGAGTGTCACGTTTCCAGAGGCGATAGGTATTTTCCTCAACTGTACTGATGCATCTCATTCTAGAAAACAGGTTCAGAATAATTTTGCTACATGTGGGCAACACTGTTTTTTCTGTCATACAGAGGAATCTTATTCATGCGTGCTAGACCTGTATGGAAATAACCCTGTTAATAATGATGCAATGGTTGCTCGCTCTGTTAACAAAGTACAACCTGCTGTGTGCTGCGGTGATCATTTTACCTGTGTACAATGTGTAAGCTAATGAGAAAATGTGCTGTAACAAGGATAACTTTTGAAAAATAAAAAAATATATAAAAGACAACTTTATCAGCAAAGAAAAGCATTTATTCGCATGTTTCAGGGAATACACCATCATCATCATCAGTAAAGAAAAGCATTTTTATTCACATGTTTCAGGGAACACAATAACAAACGGTATACATTCGATGCTAGAGAGGAAAAACTAAATATAAAATACATTCAATAGGTCGGGCATTCAATATGTCACGGTGGGGGTGCAGAAAGACATTTAAAAAAGACATTAAAAAAAAGACATCAATTTCTGCCACGTTTCAACCCTCCTTTTTGATTTTGGTGTCTTAAGTGGGGTTCTATACACGTGTGAGGCATCTAGAGATCGGTCCCCTCTGGGAGTAAAACGACTCAACAGAGCGTGTAACCCCATCAGTCATTTTATATTCGGCAATAGACCTACGCACCGTTGTGTTGGGGATGGCTGATAACGGCACATTTAAAGTAGCTAATGTTTTTAAAAAAAATCCTCCATCCAGTAGGTCTAGAACTGTCTAAAACATTATGTGCTGAGGTGACACTTTTCACCAAATCATACAGGTGCGAACCTCTGACCCTGTGATTACCTGTGATAATTTCACCCTGTTCAGACCATGATATAGTTTTTTTTAGCACGAGTTAAGGCATCCAAAATGTATTGAGCATTTTTCTTGCTCTTTTTAGGCATGTGTTTTATAACATCCCCTACGAGCAGATCCTTTTGAGGCACATCAGCATTATCGATATTATCACCCTGAGAAACGATGGGGCTTGAGAATACTTTCATCGGGGGCAGTGATAAGGTCAACACGTTCACCCTGTCTCACCATAGTCTATCTCTGTAAAATAACTGCATATTTTTTAGCCTTCTCATACATGTCTATCAGGCAGTTTCAATACATCGGTCATGGCTCTATCAAGTTCATTTTGCACCGCTTGTCTTATAGAACCAGTGTTTTGGTGCTGCTGCTGTTTGTGTTTGTAGCTTTAATGCATCCAACTGATGCTGGGGGACCAGAAACATTTTTTGGGTGTGCTCCATAGTTAAGTCCCTCTGTTGATAAGGCTGATTATAAATGGAATAGCGGCTCCTAATAGAGGCAGTAAAAGTCCTCCTGTCTGTCTGAGGGTTTTCTTCTTTGCAAGTTAAAAAAAAAAAAAACAGCCACCAGTCTGATGAGAGCCTCTCTCTTCCTTAAAAGCATGTACCGTTTGTCAGTCAAAGGAATATTACCTAAACGCATTGAGAGCTATCTCACACAGAGGGTTAATAAAGTCAGCGTTTGCATTACTCACAATGACCCTCCGCACGCTGGGCGAAGATTTATATATTAACTCCAGCAGAGACAAATTCCTCTGTATTTGGGACGACATTGTTACCTCTCGTTTTTTGGAGATATATGCAACCGGTTGCTCCGATAGCAATGCTGTTCTGAGTCTTAAATAATCAGGGGTCTTTGCTTTATAATCTATGAGGAGACAACCGTAGGAGGGGGAGGTGGCGTCATTAAATGCCTCTAAAAAATATTTAGTATTACCAGGAAACATCTGTCTGGCCAATAGCATAATCTGATATTTATCCCGGGGGTTTTTAAACAAAATGAGATAGTACGACTTGCCTTGCCTTGAATAAATTTTATACAGCTGAGATTTCTATGATGCACATTTTGAACTTCTATGTTATTTCTGGCATCGTTCATCAAATCGGCCATTATGAGCAGATTGTTTTTGTCTGGAGGTAGCAGTACGTCGTTACACAGACTCTGGTAACCCGTCTACAAAGTTGATGTCTCTTATTTGAAGGAGTTGGTTGTATAAAGGTTGCCAGCAGGAGTAAATGTAAACAACATTATCAAAATGGTGTGAAATAACCCTCGAGGCATTTTCAATAATATCCTTGACAAAAAAAAAAAAAAAAAAAAAGTCTTTCCACAGTTTGAGGGACCACTCACCACCAAACTAAATGGATGTTGCAACCTTACATCAAATCCCGGATCAGTATCCATAGGGGAGGGTGGTATAATCAGACAACAACCGTCGCTTGTTGTACACAACCTGGACTTTCTTAAAAACGGTCTCATTTTTAAGATGGAACTGCTTTTTATCCCTCTTGATAGTGTCAGACACCGTCATCATGTGTGCATTGGTATTCTGATTGGCTACAAAGGCGTGGACTAGACCAACCAGTGACTCGGGCGTGACAACTGACGCATTCTTTGCGTTTAATGTGACGCCCTTGCATTTCATCTGTGTTTTGCCGTGTCTCGTGTAGTAGGCATAACACTTTGGAACCCCCCCCCCCACCCCGACACAAACTGTGATGTAATCTTAAGCTCGGGCCCTATTTGTAGGCCTCTGCTCGAAAATAGCATACCCACCCTAAAGTGACCATAGTTCTGTAACTACAAGGTCTATTTTAATAATTTTTGTTGATATAAATCAGATAACACTTGTGAGATTGTTCAGATGGGTAATATTGTGTATATGTTGCTGGTTAATATGAAGACATTACACAGCTCAAATTGAAAATAATCAGGTTCGCCTGGGGGGGGGGAAAAAAAAAAAAAAAAAAAGCACTTTCATTGATATAAGGTTGTTGAAATAATGCAGATATCTCCCTAAAAA